TCTTTCCCTTTTGTGATATTATTATTATATATATTATTGATATATCTGTAAATGTTATAAACCCAATAATTCATTGTTATAATTATTACTTTATTAAATTTTGTGACTTTTAAAGGAGCTCAGAAGAAAGGAGAGCAAGTTTATATTTATAACTTTTGATATATTAACCTTCTTATTTATCCTTGCTGGTTCTCTTCATTTGTTCCTGTGAATTTGAGTTACCATATGGAGTCATTTTCTTGGCCCAGTAAAACTTCTTCCACCCACCTCCTTTGTGCTTTTGCAAATATATATGTATTATATCCCTATTGTTTTGTACAATTGTTTTAAAAACCAGTTAAGCAAAGAAAGAAGAAATGTGCATTTATACTGTCTTTTATAATATGTGATTACTTTTACTGATGCTCTTTGTTTTTCCATGTGGATTCATATTACCATTTGGGGGTCATTTGATTTCAACCTGAAGAACTTCCTTTAGTATTTTTTGTAAGGCAGGTCTGCTAGCACCAAATTTTCTCAAGACAGGTCTTTACATCACCTTTATTTCTGAAAGATTTGCTGAAAATAGGATTCTTGGTTACAGGTTTTTCTTTGTGTACTTTGAGTGTGTTATTCCACTGCTTCTGGCTTTCATTGTTTCTGATAAGAAGTCAGTTGTTAATCTTTTTGGGTTTACCTTGTAAGTGATGAGTCATTTTTCACTTGCTTCTTTCAATAATTTCTTATTGTCTTTGACTTTCAGTATTTTTACTATGTATCTATTTATGGCTCTCTTTGTGTTTATCCTTATTGGACGTCATTGAGCTTCCTTAATATGTAGATTAATGTTTTTCAATAAATTTGGGAAATTTTTAGCCATTATTTCTTCAAATATTTTTTCTGCTCCTTTCTCCTGTCCTTTTGGTACTCCCATTATGCATATGTTGCTGTGCTTAATGGTGTCCCACATTTCTCTGAAGCTTTTTCATTTTTCTTCACTCTTTTTTCTTTTTCTTCTTCAGCTTACATAATCTCTATTGATCTCTCTTCAAGTTTACTAATTCTTTCTTCTGACATTGAAAATCTGTTGAGCCTCTCTATTAAATTTTTCATTTTAGTTATTTACTTTTCAACTCCATAACTTCTTTTTGTTTCTTAATAAATTGTTTCTTTATTGATACTTTCTGTTTGATGTGATATTGTTATCATACCTTGCTTTCCATCCTTAATTATGGTTTCCTTTGGTTCTTTGAACATGTATATAAACGGCTGTTTTTGGGGGTTTTTTTTTTTTGCGGTATACAGGCCTCTCACTGTCGTGGCCTCTCCCATTACGGAGCACAGGCTCCGCGGCCATGGCTCATGGGCCTAGCCGCTCCGTGGCATGTGGGATCTTCCCAGACCGGGGCACGAACCTGTGTCCCCTGCATCGGCAGGCGGACTCTCAACCACTGCACCACCAGGGAAGCCCTAAACGGCTGTTTTGAAGTCTTTGTTAAATCTAACACCTGGTCATTCTCACAGGCAGTTTATGTTGGTTTTTTGTTAGTTTATTTTGCTGTATGTGTCATACTTCCTGTTTCTTCGCATGTCTCATAATTTTTTGTTGGAACTGGACGTTTTAGATATTTTAGGGTAGGTAATGTATTGTAGCAAGTCTGTATATTGATCCCCATCTTCTCTTACGTTTGTTATTGTCCCCAGGCAAAATATTTGTGCCATGGCTCTGGAGCTTAGGGCAGGAACATGGCAACTTCTCTCTGAATTATACCCCTACTTTAGGATCTGAGCATTTAGTGGAAAGGGGCACACTAGCCTCTTGCCTTTTCAACTTGCCTCTCCTGACATGAAACCACCACCTTACAAGCCAGGGCATGTGTGAGCAGGACCCCAATAGTCTCAGTAGTACTTTGCCAAAGGTAGAGACTCTGTCTCACCAGTACAGGTTAAACAGAAGAAAAGAACCCCCACCTCTTGGCTGCACTTGCCCACAACTTGGACTTAGCAAAACATAGCCAAGGCAGGATGAGAAATATTTATGTCTTACCCCTACCAAGAAGGTAGCCCTCTGACTGGCAGTTTTAGGGAGAGAGAGCCCTGTGCTCTTGGCTGTAGCAGTCAAGGGGGGTCTCCACCTCACTGCGTGGGGAGGAAGGAAGCAGTCTTGGTTCAAATATCACTGTTTCTCACATTTTTTAAACCTAATTTTCATAGATTTTGTTGAATAGATGTGTCTTCACTTACTGCATGCCCTTATGACCATTTTCAGCAACTTAAAATTTTTTTTAATAGTTTTTACCTGGAAGTGGATCCTCATACCATCGTGCCAGAAGTCAATTCTAGAATACTACATTCAATGTGACTTTTTATATAATTAGTTTAAATCTGTCATGTGGTATTTGTTTTCTATTTCTCTTATCTCTCCTTGTTCCTTTTTTCATCTTTTTATGCTTTATCCTCTTTGTTCATTTATGAGCTATAACTTTCTCTTTTTTTTTTTTTTTTTTTTGACCACACTGTGCATCTTGTGGGATCTTAGTTCCCCAACGAGGGATTGAACCCGGGCTGCAGCAGTGAAAGAGCCAAGTCTCAACCACTAGACCGCCAGGGAACTCCCAGCTATAACTTTCTATTTTAGTTCTGCCTTTAGAGTTTATGGTATCTGTTTTTAACTTCTCACAATCTACCTTTAAGTGATGTTATACCACTTCATGTATACTGTTGAGTGGGCCAAAAGGTTTGTTCTTTTTTTTCCTTAAGATGGCTCTAGTAGCACTTAGTTGTCTTTAACTTCATTTGAAACAATTTTGTTAGATTGTATGTGACAGCTGTCATATCAGTGTACATTTAAAAAAAGACATCAAAACTGGTGAATTTTTGTGTAGCCATTTTAATATTGAAGGTGGAAGAAAAACAACATTTTTAGCATATTATGCTTTATTATTTCAAGAAGGGTTAAAAGACAACTGAAATGCACAAAAAGATTTGTGCAGTGTATGGAGAAGGTGCTGTGACTGATCGAATGCATCAAAAGTGGTTTGTGAAGTTTCGTGCTGGAGATTTCTCTCTGGACAATGCTCCAGGGTTTGTTGAACTTCTTGAATCTCTGGTTTTATCATTGCTTCAAATTTGGAAAAATTTCAGCCATTATTTCTTCAAATATTTTTTTCTTCCCTCCCCTCATTTTTGAATTCCCATTACATATATATTAGGCTGCTTAAAATCATTCCGCAACTCACTGTGATGATCTTATTTTTAAGTTCTCTTTTCTCTGTGGGTTTTTTATGCCATTCCTATTCCTGTGTCTTTGAATTCACTAATCTTTTTGTTTGCAGTGTCTAACCTGTTAATATCATCCAGTGTATTTTTCATTTCATATGTTGTAATTTTCATCTCTAGAAGTTTGATTTGAGTCTTCTTTTATATCTTCCATGTCTCCATGTAACATTTGGAACATGTGGAATATGATTATAATAATTATTTAATGTCCTTATCTGCTAATTCTAACATCTTCGAGAGTTCTCAGTCATTTTCAATTGATTGCTTTCTCTCCTCCATATGGATTTATTTTCCTACCTGTTTCTAGGCCTGTTAATTTTTTATTGAATCCCAGAATTGTGAAATTTATCTTGTTGGATGCCAGATATGTTTTTATTCTTAAAAATATTTTGGATATCTGTTCTAGAATATAGCTAATTTACACAGAAACAGTTTTATCCTTTTGGGTCTTGCTTTTATAATTTGTTAGGCAGGATTGGAGCAGTGTTCAGTCTAAGGCTAATTATAGCTAATTATAGCCACTACAGAGGCAAAACTTTTCTGTGTACCTCCCAATGCCCCATCAGTTTTGAGGTTTTTCTAGTCTTACTATTGGGAACAGGTGCTATTTCTGCCCTTTGAGAATGCCATTACCTCTAATCTTTCAAGTAGTTCTTTTCCCAGGCTTGGGTAATTTCCTCACACACATGGCCAATCACAGCTCAGCGGAATACTTAAAAAGGACCCCCTGAAGATCTGCAGAGTTCTCTCTATATATATTTCTCTCCTCTTCAGTACTCTGTCCTGCAAACTCTAGCCATCATGCTAGACTATGCTCTGTCTATTCAACTCAGAGAATCCACGGGTTTTGCCTGGATGCATTCTCTCTGTACCATGACCTGGAAACTCTCAAGGCAGTGAGTTGGGACAATTATAGGGCTCACCTCATTAGTTTCTCATTTCTCAGGATCACTATACTCTGTTCCCTGATGTTTGGTATCTTGGAAACCATTGTTTCATATATTTAGTTTGCCTTTTTTTTTGGTTGTGTCATGTGTTAGGGTAAATCTGGTCCCTGTTACTTCATCATGGACAGAAGCAGTAGTTCATATATTTCAGATATTTTTTAATCCTAATTTTTGTTTTATTTTTCACCTCAGGAGACTACCCATAAAGCCAGTGTTTTATTGAATGGCAAAATTAAGGTAGAAAATGGTCAGATTTATCAAAACCCAGTCATCTGGCTCAAGGATCTTCTAGGAGCTGACAGTTACGTGACCTGGAATTATGCTTGGAGTAAGGTGGGTCATTCTTAAGTTTATCTTTAACTTCATATTCAAATGGAAAGGTACATACTTTTTGATGATAAAACTATTACCTTTTTTTAAGGAATTTGAAAATTCTCCAAATTAGTTTTGTCCTCATGCATCCCTTCTGCAGTGTGCTACATGCTTTCTCCCACAATTCCTATTTGCCAGAATTCCCCACAGCAGGATTGCACAGCTAACTGAGCCTCTCCTTCCTTGTTCCTCACCTAGTCTCAGAAAATTGAATGCCCCCGATCTTCCCCTCTTGTCCCTACCACCTCACCTCCACAGTGATTGCAGTTCCCTGTGACTCCACATAGAAAATTTGGAACCACTGGTGAATTGAATTTTTAATTAATATGTTACTAGTATTCTGATAAAATAAAGCAAAATCTTCCCCTAAAGATGAAAATTATGATAAAGGGGCCTAAGACACACAGAGGTTATGGTGCACTTTTATGTTTGAACATAGTCTTATCCATGAATTGCTAGCCTCCCAAAAAAATATTTCTGAATTTTTATTCAGACTTCCCAGACTTAGTGGTCTCCCCCTCAGTTCTGACTTCTGAGTTATAAGCCCAGTTTAATAACCAATTTGAAGAGTATCGATGACTGACACCCTTGAGGTCCAGTGATCAGCCACTTCCAGATGTCCATGGCACCCCTTCAGGGAACAGTGTTGCAATGATTCACCCAGGAAAGTGTGAGTCATCAGACAGTCACCGTTACTGTTTCACAGAATTGCAAATACCTTCAACCTCCACTAGCCATTACAGTAAGTCCAACTTGGCTCTGCCCACTCTCGTTCCTAGCTCCTATCTCAGTCTTAGTCCCTAAACTCTGCATTCTGGTCTCCTAGACCTCTGTTGCAGGTGCTTCCATATAGTCGCTCTGTGTTCCTTTTTTCCTGTATTATTATTATTTTTTATTTCCCACCACTGGAGTCACCAGGCCATCTGCTTTCAATTCAACCTGCCTAATCCTTTCCATGCATTCATAAATCATATTTGCATGTTAGTAATTAACATTTTACCCATGGAAATCCCTTTTTATTGCAAAGTTTCTTAAATTCATGATAGATGATATTGTTTTGCTGAAACTGAATCTGTGCTCACAGTGTGAATATGGTACTAATTGCTGTAGCTTAGGTTGTTTTGAGCTTAACATGCCTGTGGCCCACTGATGATGACTCAGTCCTCCCTCTCTTTTTCTGTGTTGGAACTACTGCATTTTCTGCTTTTGAATAGCTGGCTGTGATATCATTTGGCTCTCACTCTGTACTTATATGCCTCATTTACATATCACATTGCCTCTGGTATTTTCTCATTAGCCATGTCAATTGGAGTCATATTGTTTAACATCTATGTGATAGTGAAGCCAAATACAAATGTGGGCGCTAAAATTAGGGCAATTCTTGGATATAAGATACTCATACGGATTATCTGAGCAAGCTTAGATTTTTTTTTAATTATCCTAAAAATGGAAATAGTTTCAAAAATTACTGTAGGACACTCATGTACTTCTAGTAAATACCACAAGCTGAGAAACACCACCCCAGTGAGTTTGTTTACAATTTTTTAAAGCCTCTTTTAAATTTACCACAGTAACCTCTACCCTTCTTGTCTTGGGGTAACTCCTGAATTCACAGTCACTTCTTGATAGGAGCTTTTTGCTACCTTGGTAAATGTGAACATTTCTACCGACTAGTTCCTAGTACAGTGGTGGGGCTGTAGAGCCAGGACTGGTTGGTTGTCAGGCAAGAAATGCCAGAAAACTAGGTCTTGTCCTACATCAGACAGAATGACACAGCCACTAGACACGGAGATGACTCATACCTCGTTCCCAAGCAGCTGAGCTGCTGTACAGCTTTGCCAAGGGAATCCTCATGTGTACTCCACTGGACATCACTCACTCCTCTTGCCGATTCAGTCTCCTGAAGTGACCTAGTGCCTGTTCAGTTTGAGTTCTATTCATTGTTATCCTTGTTCATTAAATCACTCCTACCTTGTGGAAAATAGATTTTTAACTCAGTGGATTTTCTTAAAGCTGTGTTCTTTGAATGTGTGAATTATCCCTAGTGATGTGTGGGACCTATGGGGACTCACGACCTCTAAGGCTACTAAGGTAAAATTTTACCCAGCACTAACTGATAAAAATATACTTTAAATCTGAGACATAGGTGAAAACATGCTGAGCCTACACATTGATGTGTGTATAAGGTGTGTTGGATATTGTCAGGGTGATAATGTGAACAAAATCCATTCTTTCTTCTTTTTATATACTTGCAGGTAAACTTTATTATTTCTGAGGTATAGCTGATTTCAGCTGTACAACATAGTCATTCAAAATCTTTATAGATTATACTTAAATTTATTATAAAATATTGGCTGTATTCCCTGTGCTGTACAATATATCCTCATAGCTTATTTATTTTATACATAGTAGTTTGTACCTCTTAATCTCCTACCCCTGTCTTGCCCTTCTTCCCTCTCCACTCTGGTAACCACTAGTTTATTTTCTCTCTCTGTGTCTGTTTATGTTTTGTTATATTCATTCATTTTATTTTTTAGATTCCACATATAAGTGATAACAGAGTATTTGTCTTTCTCTGTCTGACTTATTTCACGTAGCATAATACCCTCCAGGTCCATCCATGTTGTTGCAGATGGCAAGTTTACATTCTTTTTTATGGCTGAGTGATATTCCATTGTACATATATACCACATCTTCTTTATCCACTCATCTGTTGATGGGCACTTAGGTTGCTTTCATATCTTGGCAACTGTAAATAATGCTTCTATGAACATTGGGTGCATGTACCTTTTCAAATTAGTGTTTTGGGGTTTTTTTTTTTCAGATATATACCCAGGACTGGAATTGCTGAATCATATGACAGTTCTATTTTTAATTTTTTGAGAAACCTCCATACTGTTTTCCACTGTGGCTGCACCAATATACATTCCCACCAACAGCATACGAAAGGGTTCCCCTTTCTCCACAGCCTTGCCAGCATTTGTTATTTGTATTCTTTTTGATGATAGCCATTCTGACAGGTGTGAGGTGATACCTCATTATGGTTTTGATTTTCATTTTTCTGATGATTAGCAGTGTCGAACATCTTTTCATGAGACTGTTGGCCATCTGTATGTCTTCTTTGGAAAAATTTCCATTCAGGTCTTCTTCCCATTTCTTGACCAGGCTGTTTGTTTTTTGGTATTGAGTTGTATGAGCTCTTTATACATTTTGGATATTACCCCCTTAATAACTTGCAAATAGTTATATCATTGGCAAGTATTTTTTCCCCTTCAGTAGGTTGTGTTTTCATTTTGTCGATGGTTTCTTTTGCTGTACAAAAGCTTTTAGGTTTAAGTAGGTCCCATTTGTTTATTTTGTTTCCTTTGCCTTAGGAGACAGATCCAAAACGATATTGCTCTGATTTATATCAAAGCGCCTTCTGCCTATGTTTTCTTCTGGGAATTTTATGATTTCCAGTCTTACATTTAGGTCTTCAATCCATTTGGATTGATATATGGTATGAGAAATGTTCTAATTTCATTTTTTTACATGTAGCTGTCCAGTTTTCCCAGCACCACTTATTGAAGAGACTGTCTTTTCTCCATTATATATTCTTGCCTCCTTTGTCATAGATTAATTGACCATAAGTGCATAGGTTTACTTCTGGGCTCTCTATTCTGTTCTGTTGATCTGTGTGTGTGTTTTCTGTGCCTGTACTGTTTTGATTACTGTAGCTTTGTAGTATAATCTGAAGTCAGGGAGTATGATTCCTCCAGCTCTGTTCTTCTTTCTCAAGATTGTTTTGGCTATTCAGGTCTTTTGTGTTTTTATACAAATTTTTAAATTATTTGTTCTAGTTCTGTGCAAAATGCCATTGGTATTTTGATAGGGGTTGCATTGAATCTGTAGATTGCCTTGGGTAGTATGGTCATTTTAACAATATTAATTCTTCCAGTCCAACAACATGTTTTTCTTTCCATTTGTTTGTTTCATTTTCAGTTTCTTTCATCAGTGTCTTACAGTTTCCCAAGTACAGGACTTTTACCTCCTTAGGTAGGTTTATTCCTAGGCATTTTATTCTTTTTGATGGAATGGTAAACAGGATTGTTTCCTTAATCTCTTTCTGATGGTTCATTGGGTTTTTTTTTAAATACATGTTTATTGGAGTATAATTGCTTCACAATGCTGTGTTAGTTTCTGTTGTACAACAAAGTGAATCAGCTATATGCATACATAGTTCATTGTTAATATATAGAAAGGCAACAAATGTCTATATATTTATTTTGTTTCCTGCAGCTTTTCTGAATTCACTGATGAGCTCTGGTAGTTTTCTGGTGGCGTTTTTAGTATTTTCTATGTATAGTATCATGTCATTTGCAAACAGTGACAGTTCTACTTATGTGTTTCCAATTGGGATGCCTTTTATTTCTTTTTCTTGCCTGATTGTTGTGGCTAGGACTTGCAATACTATGTGAATAAAAGTAGCAAGAGTGGGCATCTTTGTCTTGTTTCTGATCTTAGAGGAAATGCTTTCAGCTTTTCACCATGAGTATGATGTTAACTATGGGTTTGTCATATGTGATCTTTATTATGTTGAGGTATATTCCCTCTGTGCCCACTTTCTGGAGTGTTTTTATTATAAATGGATGTTGAATTTGGTCAAAGCTTTTTCTGCATCTATTGAGATGATCATATGATTTTTATTCTTCAGTTTGTTAATATAGTATATCACATTGATCAATTTGCAGACATCAAAAAATCCTTGCATCCCTAGGATAAATCCCACTTGATCATGGTGTATGGTCCTCTTAATGTATTGTTGGATTCTGTTTGCTAATATTTTGTGAGGATTTTTGTGTCTATGTTTATCAGTGATATTAGCTGTAATTTTGTGAGTTTTTTTTGTGATATCTTGTCTGGTTTTCGTATCAGTGTGATGCTGGCCTTCTAGAATGAGTTCGAAAGTGTTCCTTCCTCTGCAGGTTTTTGGAATAGTTTGAGAAGGATAGGTGTTAACTCTTCTCTAAATGTTTGGTAGAATTCACCTGTGAAGCTAACTGGTCCTTTACTTTTGTTTGTTGGGAGTTTTTAAATTACTGATTCAATTTCATTACTGGTAATTGGTCTATTCAGATTTTCTATTTCTTCCTAGTTTAGTGTGGGGAGATTGTACATTTCTAAGAATTTGTCCATTTCTTCTAGATTGTCCATTTTATTGGCATGTAGTTGTTTGTAGTCTCTTAAGATCCTTGGTATTTCTGTGGTGTTGGTTCTAACTTCTCCTTTTCATTTCTGATTTTATTGACTTGGGCCCTCTCTGACTAAGTCTGACTAAAGGTTTATCAATTTTATCTTTTCAAAGAACCAGATTTTAGTTTCATTGACTTTTTCTATTTTTTTTTTTTTTTTTTTTTTCGTGGTTAAAGGTTTTGCTCTGATCTTTATGATTTCTTTCCTTCTACAAACTTTAGGTTTTGTTTGTTCTTCTTTCTCTAGTTCCTTTAGATGTAAGATTAGGTCATTTATTTGAGTTTTTTCTTGTTTCCTGAGGTAAGCTTGTGTCACTATAAACTTCCCTGTTACAACTGCTTTTGCTGCATCCCATAGATTTGGATCATCATGATTTTGTTTTCATTTGTCTCTAGGCATTTTTTTTTTCTTCTTTGCTTTCTTCAGTGAACTGTTGGTTGTTTAGTAGCATATTGTTTAGCCTCCATGTATTTGTGAGGATATTTTGCAGTTTTTTTCTTGTAGTTGATTTCTAGTCACATAGTGTGGGGTTGGAAAAGATGCTTGATATGATTTTAGTCTTCTTAAATTTATTGAGATTTGTTTTGTGGCCTAGTATGTGATCTGTCCTGGAAAATGTTCCATGTGCACTTGAAAAGAATGTATATTCTGCTGTTTTTGGATGAATGTTCAAAATCCATTGTTATTAACTTCAGTTGTTTGGAGAAATGACAGGTGGCATTCAGTGGCCCCACCTCTCTTTTTCCCTGGCAAGTGAGGAGGGTTTAGCATACTGAGTAGGCCAGGTCTGTTCCATTAACATTACCAAGCTTTGTTTAGTCATAGGATTGAGCTAAAAGTCTGCCTAACCATTCTGTATTCCTTAGGCCTTCCTCACTCTGTTCAGTAACAGGCATTTACTGAGCACTCAGGATGTGCTAGACAGCATGCCAAAAGTATATATTATCATATATATTATCTCCTTTGCTCCTCCCAACTTAAAAATCTGGAGATACTCATTTAACAGATGCACAAACTCAGGCTCAGAGAGTTTAAGAATTTTGCTTAAGAGCTGGGACTTAAGAGTTTTTTCCTAGTATTGTCAGGCACTATATGAAGAGCTAGAGAATAAAAATTACTATTATACAGATCCTTCTTCAAGGAGCCTATAGTTTAATGGAAATGGACACATTAATACATAATTTCCTTTAAGTGGGATAAGTGCCTTGACAGAAATATGAGCACAGACTTTATGGGATCCTAGAGGAGGGTCATTACTTGAGCTTAGCAGTTATAGGAAGGCATCCTGGAGGAAGGGATGTCCAAGTTGAGACTTGCTGGTTTAACCATAGTGAACCTAGCTTCTGGGAGTATACTATTAGACTGCTCTAGAAATAGGTCCGGAGGACGCAAAGACCTTTGGACTCAGAACATTTCTGGCAGGAGTTTGCCAGTCTACCTCAGTCCAGCCCATTTGTATGTATATATTTCTAAGCTCTGACCTTTTGGGCTGATAAACAATAACTAAGTTCAAAAACCAACCAAGAAAAACAAAAAAACTTTGATGTATAGACCTAAAATGCAGTTAATCTAACCAGCTGTGTATATGATTTCTAGAAAAGTACCATTTTACTTTTATGACTTAATTTTATTAATGCAACATTAATTTTTTAAAGTTATAAAGTAGCAGGTGCTGGATTAATATTTGTTGAATAAGTGAACATATGAGAGAATTAATGATACATATCAGGGGTCAGCAATTTTTTCTGTAAAGGGCCAGATAATACATATTTCAGGCTTTGTGAGCATATGGTCTCTGTCAAAACTACTCCATCCTGTTGTAGCATAAAAGCAGCTATAGATGTTAAGTAAATGAATGGGTATCACTGTGTTCTAGTAAAACTTTATTTACAAAAAAGATGGTAACCCAGATTTGGCTGTGGGCTAGTTTGCCAGTACATAATGTACAACAATCAATACTTTACTGGAGTTACAATTTGCAGGAGAAAGGTGTATTTGCTTCTTATAAAATATATGATTTTGAAGTTCTGTGTTTAATTATGTGCAGGTAACATACCGGGGGAAGGAACTTTTAAAGTATATTTCTGAGGAATTACCCTTGCCTCCAGACCCAAACTTGGTACCTCAGCAACATCAGCCTTGTCTTCCAGGTATGTGCAGACCAACACCTATTTCTTAGTTGTGGGGAAAACACACCCACATCTGCTGAGAAGGCATTGCACTTGTCTTTTTTTTTTCCATTCAGGTTAAATTCACATGATATTCAAATAAACATTTTAAAGTGAACAATTCAGTGGTATTTAGTACATTGACAGTGTTTTACAACCACCAGCTCTGTGTAGTTCCAAAAGAGTTTCATCACCCCAAAAAGAAACCCATACCCATTCAGCAGTTCTTCCCATTCCCCACTCCCTCCAGTCCCTGGGAACTACCAGTCTGCTTCCTGTCTGCATGGATTTGCCGAGTCTGAATATATTATATAAATGGAATCCTACAATATATGACCTTTTGTGTATGGCACCATTCACTTAGCATAATGCTTTTAAGGATTATCTACATTGTAACATCTGTCAGTACTTCATTCCTTTTTATGGCTTCCATTGCATATATATATATAAACCACAATTTACTTATTTATTCATCCTTTGATGGACATTTGGGTTTCCACTTTCTGGCTGTTGGACATAGTGCTGCTATTAACAGATGTATACATATTTTTGTTTGGATACCTGTTTACAGTTCTTTTGGGTGTATACCAAGGAGTGGAACTGCTATATTATATAGTTATTATATGTTTAACTTTTGAGGGAACAGCCATTACTGTTTTCCACAGCAACTGAATCATTTTACATTCCTACCAGCAATGTACAACAAGGGTTCCAGTTTCCCCACATCTCCACCAAAACTTGTTATTTTCTGTTTGTTTGTTTACAGCACTCCATTTAAACACCGTTTAACTTAAATTCTAGAAGAATAACACCTTCCTTCACAATTCCTTTCTCTGAATCTGATGTGCTTACTTTAGGTAGATTTTTTTAAAGTGTCATGTAAAAGGGAAAATGGGTATTTTTTTCCTTCCTGCAGGCATGATTTGGTTAGTTTTCCATATTTTCTAAAAATAGATACTAGAATTAAGTCTTTGCTTGTTAGAGTACACTAATACACTTCATCTAATGGAATAAACCTTCAGAAAACTGAAGAGAATGTGGTCTTCACCAATCAGCAGCTGATTTTGAAGTTATTGGAAAGGGTGGTACACATTTATGAAAAGCAGACATAACTAATGTTATATCACCCTTCTCTGCTGCAGTGTACCCTCTGTTTCCCCCAGTTTCCCTGTCTTAGACCAGTTGGGGACAATATATGAGGAGAGGAGGTACAAAACAAAAAATGATAATTCTGTGACAACCAAAGTTAAGAACCAAACAGGATTACTATCACAAGCCCCTAACCAGGGATTTCCCAGGGTTACTCCTTTCCTTAACAACAAATCCCAATAATTCAAAGTACTTTCCTAACTTTACACTGAATTCACTCTAACCTTTGTCTCAAAAACTGGCTTCAGAATAAGATGCATTTTCCCCTGTTTTCTAAGGATAGCCTCAAAAGTATTTTTCATCATTTTGGGGAAACACATAAAATAAAACAATTGTGGGGAAGTTAAAGGGCTTAAGAAACTGGAAGGAGTTGTAGTAATTCATGGTCTTTGGTTCCTTACTTAATCTAATCTTAGAGATAGGCCAAGGAACCTGAGTTTTTAGGAGTGATTCTTATGCAGCCAAACCTGACTGTTGACTTTGAATGACTAGTAGTATCTGATTTCTTATGCAGGTAATAATTTGAAAATTCTTAATATTCAGCCCTTCACTTTGATTCCAAAGCACACTCACTTTTGTGCTTGTACAGTCAAGCCCTCTGTCTCTCTTGTCCCTCTCATCTCTCTGTCTCGTGCACGTGTGCACACACACACTTGAAGGAAAGTCAAGCAAACCCTTTCTCCTAGTTTCTATCCTTAAGAGTCAAAGCAGAAATATAGGTTCTTCCTCATATCAGAAAGCATATCTGCTCCTCAGATTTTCTAGCTCCAGGCACATATTTCCAGCCCCAGCCATGCATCTTCTTCCTCAGAGGGCTCACAGTTCCTCTGCTAAATGAGCATGAAATAAAAAATGGGTTCTGAATTGCTGCTTCTGCTGCCTGCAGTATAAACAGTTTCTTGTTACTAATTTCTGTCCAGAAATCCTGAATTTTCTTTCCTTTAGATATTTCAGAAAATGTTAGTGCTAATTTGAGAACTGTGGAGGTGCCAGTATGCCAACCAGCATCTTGCTACCTTGATCTGGACCTAGGAATCTATAGACAGGTCCCTGCAGGTATCCGTAGGCTGCTGTTGAAGTTTTGTTTGAGCATCTTTGATTTAGGATTCTTTTGTACCTGGTTTTGTGGTACCTGACAGAAATCCAAAGACCTGGTAAGTTAGAAAAATGTAAAGTCTCTAACCTTATTACAAGCAAAGCATTCTGGAGAGAATCTTTTCCCCTCTTCTGCATATCAAAATGTGGTAATGGAAGTTGTGGCTCTGACATCATAGAGACCATAAAGTCTAAAGGAAAAACATGTCCACATGGATTTAATTAGCCTACTTCAGATCATGAACATATCTGTTCTCTTATGCTTTTTGATGATCACACTCTTCAGAATACTGTTTTTTGGAAATAGTGGACTAGGAAGAGATATTTACATTTCCCATAACTAGGATGACCATGTATCCCCATTTGACCGGGGCAGTCCCTAATCCAGCAAAATTATTAGTACCACTCCCTTTCACTTTCAGACATGCCTTGTTTAGATGACCTAGTACAGGAACCAAGCAAATAACTGTTGGAAAAAATGAAATTTGGACAAGGCGAAAAAAAGAGAAAGAGAGAAACTTTCAGTTTTATTTAAGTTTTTAACTGTATAGTTTCTAGCATACTACTGTGTAAATAGATGGTTAAATCTTATGTATATCACTCTATATTATAAATAATTGCTGGTTACCTAATCTTAACCCCCGATAGACTGAGAAGATCTTTGAGTTCAGAGAGATTTTTGTGGGCTCTTGCTTCCTATTATATTCCCAATGCCTGGCATATAGTAGCTTCCAAGTAAAATGTTCATTGAATAAATGAATGAGTGAATGGAAACATGAATATGATCCAAAGGACTGCTTATTTTAAAACTGAATTTACTTACGGTTGACTGTCCTCATAGGTGGACATTCCTAGATCTCACAGGCTATAACAATTTGTGGTGAAGAATTCAACAAATGGTAAATGGGATTTTGGTTAGTTAATACTGTCTCCTTTATCTGAATTAATCTCCCTTATCTGAATTTTCTGTCTAACTGTGAGGTATAAGAGTGATGGCCCTTCAGGCTTAATTTCCAAAATATACAAACAGCTCATACAACTCAACAAAAAAAAAACAAACAACCCAATCAAAAAATGGGCAGAAGACCTAAATAGACATTTCACCAAAGAAGACATACTGATGGCCAATAGGCACATGAAAAGATGCTCAACATCGCTAATTATTAGAGAAATGCAAATCAAAACCACAATGAGGTGTCACCTCACACCTGTCAGATTGACCATCATTAAAAAGTTTACAAATAACAAATGCTGGAGAGGGTGTGGAAAAAAGGGAACCCTCCTACACTGTTGGTGAGAATGTAAATTGGTGCAGCCACTATGGAGAACAGTATGGAGATTCCTTAAAAAACTAAAAATAGAGTTGCCATATGATCCAGCAATCCCACTCCTGGGCATACATCTGGACAAAGCTATAATCCGAAAAGATACATGCACCCCTATGTTCACAGCAGCACTATTTACAATAGCCAAGACATGGAAGCAACCTAAATGTCCATCAGCAACAGATGAATGGATAAAGAAGATGTAGTATGTATACACAATTACTACTCAGCCATAAAAAAGAATGAAATAATGCCATTTGCGGCAACATGAATCGACCTAGAGATTATCATACTAAGTGAAGTAAGTCAGAAAGAGAAAGACATGTGCCACCTGATATCACTTATATGTAGAATCTAAAATATGACACAGATGAACTTATTTGTGAAACAGAAACAGACTAACAGACAGGGAACAAACTTATGGTTACCAAAGGGGAAAGGGGGTGGTGGGGGAGGGATGAATTAGGAGTTTGGGACTAGCAGATACAAACTGCTATATGTAAAATAGATAAACAACAAGGTGCTACTGTATAGCATGGGGAACTATATTCAGTATCCTTTAATAAACCATAATGAAAAATGAAAGATGAAAAAGAATATATATGTATATGTATAACTGAATCACTTTGCTGTACACCAGAAACTAACACAACATTGTAAATCAACTACAAAGAAAAAGAAAAAAGAATGATGGCCCTCCACATTTTCTCAACCAGAAATTTCAAAGAGAACTATTTCTCCTTTCCCCTCATCCAGTTTACTTCTACATATCATTTTGGATTCATGGTATCAAGAAAATCATGAGTCATGAAGATAAGTGATAAAATGACTTGCTTCAGTAAGTCAGAGATAATGGAAGAGCTTTTTATTTATTTGAGTTCTACACAAAAACTAGTCAACTTGGCAACTTGAGGCAATGTATTGATAGACTCCAGGATGTTAAAGTGTGGTGTATTAACACATTTGAGGATATATGTTGTTTCTAATGAAAGATTGTAAACATACCAATGCTAATCTTTAAAAATGAAGTTCTGTTGATGAAATGTTGATGAAATCCCTGAAGTATCTATCTCTAGAGTCCTTTATAAGCTTTAAAATGGAGTGAGTCTATGATGCATTTTCCCTTAAAATTTCACAGCTTTCTCCCAAGCCTCTCTCCCCTCTGCCTACTTGGCTGTAGTTCCTCCTTTGTGTTATTGAGTGAATCTTCATCAATATTTCAGTATATATTGGAATGGGAAAAATGAACATTCCCAAAACTTCTATTACATAATGTGAACATTATAGAAATATTGACATATTTTTCACAAAGTTCTTTAGAAAAACATTCTGTTAATATAGATCACATTTCATTATTTACCTGGAAAGCCAGTTTTATATGTTTATGTCCCCTGTCACCATAGTACCAAGACACTCAAAACACATGAAGCTGAATGTATTCATCTAAGCAAAGCAAACAAACAAAAAAAGAGTATCTCCTGAGGCCTTTCTTTTCCCAGACTATCATTTAATGCACACTGATTATATAATTCATAATTTTCTCTCAGGAAGATCTAACATCACTTGTTCATTTGAAATAGAATATGCTTTTTCAGGAAAAAAAATAGACTTTTTTTGTTTTTAATGAAAACGGTCTTTGACCTACTTATAATCTGTTGTGAATAAATGACTTTAAAGAAAGAGTTTTCTTCATTTCAGTGCTGTTATTGTGCTTCATTTCTCTGTAAAAGTATATGTAATAGAACACAAACATTCACAGGTGCTTCTGTTTTATGTGGTTAAGAACTTCTTAAACAGCCAAGGAAGATGGGTGCCTGATAACAGAGCAGAGGGTGTTTATTTCAGCTCCTGTTTAAACTCCTGATCCTTTTTCATTATTTTAATCATATTTTTTTTCATCCTGGTATTTTATATCTACTGATAGGGGAGGAAAGAGAAGAAAACAAATTACCTGTTGAGCATTTGCCATGTGCCAGACCCCCTGCCAGATTATCTTACATACATTAGGATATTTAGGAGCTTCTTTTTAGTAGAACTCCAAGGTTCACGTCTGTACGACAGAGACACAGAAAACCTGAACACTTTACATATAAAATCAAGTACCTCAAACCCAATTCAGCTTAAAGAACCACCTATTAATTTCATTTTTCCCCTGAACAATGAGGACCTAAATAGTTTTAAACTTCTAAATATAATAATCAAGTCTATTTCTTGATTCCAGTACAGTTTCATAGATGGCTTTTGATATTATCAATGTAAATCTGTGCCAGATTATTAATTTAGTTTTAGATAGCCAATCATGTAATACTCTATCACCATATTTATCCTTTAGGGTCCTTCATTTATCAAAAGACACTGAACTTTATTTTTTTTTCTTTGGCTGCATTGAGTCTTCGTTGCTGCACATGGGCTTTCTCTAGTTGCGGCGAGCGGGGGCTACTCTTCATTGCGGTGCTCAGGCTTCTATTGCAGTGGCTTCTCTTGTTGCGGAGCATGGGCTCTAGGCACGCAGGCTTCAGTAGTTGTGGTGCGTGGGCTCAGTAGTTGAGGCTCGTGGGCTCTAGAGCACAGGCTCAATAGTTGTGACACATGGGCTTAGTTGCTCCGTGGCATGTGGGATCTTCCCGGACCAAGGCTTGAACCCGTGTCCCCTGCATTGGCAGGTGGATTCTTAACCACTGCGCCACCAGTAAAGTCCCTGAACTTTGTATTTAAATGGCCATAGTAGAATGTTTCCCCATCATAACTAGAGCAGATGTATTTTTACAATTCATTAAAATTATTCTTAATCATTTTGCCTTTGATTGGAATTATATTTCTGATTCAGGATGAGAATGTATACATAAGTATGATCATTTTAATTTGTAACTAGAGCAAGTGATGTTTCATTCCATAATTGTAATGAAGTTTAGAATGCTTAGTTTGTAAGCACAAGTTCTGGAACTCTGAGTTCAATAATTTTCAAGTTAGAAGTGAACCTAATAGATCAGCTAGTCTTGGACCTGTTTTACAGATGATGAAACTGAGAACCAGAGGAGTAAAATGGGTTAGGGATGTGTCAGAAGTGAACCATCAGTTAAAATAATGAATCTGATTATTTTTTACTTTTGATACATTAAGGGAATTTTTTTCAAAAACAGAGGAAAATAAAAAGAAACGAAATTGAGTTATTTGTAGTGAGATGGATGGACCTAGAGACTGTCATACAGAGTGAAGTAAGTCAAAGAGAAAAACAAATACCGGTTGCTAACACATAAGTGTGGAATCTAAAAAAAAAAAAAAAATGGTTCTGAAGAACCTAGGGGCAGGACAGGAATAGAGACGCAGACGTAGGGAATGGACTTGAGGACACAGGGAAGGGGAAGGGGAAGCTGGGACGAAGTGAGAGAGTGGCATGGACATATATACACTACCAAATGTAAAATAGATAGCTAGTGGGAAGCAGCCGCATAGCACAGGGAGATCAGCCCGGTGCTTTGTTTCCACCTAGAGGGGTGGGATAGGGAGGGTGGGAGGGAGGAAGATGCAAGAGGGAGGAGATATGGGGATATATGTATACTGATTCACTTTGTTATACAGCAGAAACTAACACACCATTTTAAAGCAATTATGCTCCAATAAAGATGTTTAAAAAAAAATTCATCAGCCTTACATAATTGTGTATTATCATATGTAGTATTTGTATTGTGTATTGTTTTTAAGTGTCAATGTTCATTTGGATTTATCTACATATTTACTACTTTATTTGCTCTCCGTTCTATTTCACTTCTCAAACTTTCCATCTAGGACAAGTTTCCTTCCTGTGTTATATCCTTTAGAATTTCCTTCATTCATAAACCCTCTCTACTTTGTCTAAAAATTATTTTATCTCACATTATTTATTGCATTTTTCAGTGGTCATTGAAATCTGGTATAAAAGACGTTTTCATGACATACATTAAAGGTTCTCTTTTGCTGTAAAAAAAAAAACCCCAAAACAGAGGAAAAAGAACAGTAAAAGTTAAATTATTTCTAACCTAACTAGTATGTCATTTTGAAGTGCCAGTTTTGGCCACTGAATAACATGAATAGTTGCATGAGCCTATTCTTTTGCCTACTAATGAATCTATCAATTCAGTTTAAGCAGACTTGTGCAGAATATCTAAAGTCTGGTGATATTACTTGAGGGA